GGGCTTTCCTCCCACATTAAGCTGACACGCCGTGATATAACTGGAATAATGTTAAAAGCGGCGTTAAACCTAACTCACTCACTCACTCACTACTAGTCCTTGTGTTTTCCCATTACTGCAGAGCGCCAGGCAGGGTAACAACAATTACATCTTTTAACGTCTTTTGGTATGACGCGGCCGAGCTCGAACCACCACCAACCCCATAAGTTTACATAAGTTTGCAAACAGATTTATCTACTGAGACACCTCAAATTGTCAAACACACCCATGAAACTAAATTCCAATCCAATATACACCCTCCCCTCAAACCAATTCGTCTCGGATCACAAAAATTTATTCGAAACGATAAAATAATATGGATGCGATAAATCATATGGACATTATAATACAATCTAATAGAAGAGTCTGCGACAGCCAATAAAATCCTGAATTACGACAACAAAATTTTGGTTAATACTCCGGTGAAGTCAATGATAAGGGTTAGTAAACTCTGAGAATAAACTCCGTAACCATAACACTTTGATTTCCGATGTTGTGAGGGTAGACAAGTGCAGACCCCTACATCGGCAGCAACTTCGCGTAACACGTGCGACGTAAGCCCAGCCTGCTGGTATAAGGTATTCGAAATAGCGCGATTGAACTCGCGTTAATCTGGGCGTGTAATTAGTGTATGTAACATAAGGTTAATTCACCTTAACCCATTAAGCGTCGTATAGGGTAACACTGGTTACTCGAGTGTACGAGGGAAGATGAAACTCTGATATAAGGATGCTCCGCGTTAAGCCCCTACGTGTGATGGGTTCAAATTGTGTATGGTTTTAGTGCGTGCCGAGTATGAAGTAATTAAATTAACTTGATTAGCTACAGAGGTCTTTAATTATTTATAGTTTTGACGTCGCTTCAAGCTGAGAGTGCTCCGTTTCAGCTGAGTGTAGGTTTTCATTAAAAAGGCGACGTTTAAATGTTTAATTTGTAGAGTTAATGTCAGTTGACAATCACGTGATCAGTGTTGCCATAAGCTGAACTGAGAAATTGTCATATGTTTTGAGAGTCGTGAATGATTTGTCTCTAAAAGAAAGAAAATCTATAAAACACGCAGTATATGCCAATACCTATATTGTTAACGGAATATATAATATTTTTCTGTGATATTTTGTTTGTTTTTGCAAATAATAGTTACATGGAATAAGCTTGTAAAAGTCGTGTAACCATTCCTGGTGATAACCTAGTGGCGATCGGGACAGGTTTGTTTGTTTGTTGTTTATCACCGCGATCAGCAATGAACCAGCTATATGACGACGGTCTGTAAATAATCGAGTCTGGACCAGACAGTCCAGTGATTGACATTATGAGCATCGATCCACTTAACTGGGATACGATGACATGCATCAACCAAGTCGGCGAGCCTGACCACCCGTTCCCGTTTGTCGCCTCTTACGACAAGCATAGTCGCCTCTTCCGACAAGCGTGGGTTGCTGAAGACAGTTCTAACCCGGAACTTAATGTGTTTCAGGACAAGTGAACGAGATAACATTGTGTTAATGCATACTTCGCAATCACCAAACACAAAACGTGTAATTTGTGCCAAATTCCCATCTCTAAAAAATGTTCCCTTTTGTAACCTAATATCAGGAATGACCAAAATGACAAAAATCCAGTCAGAATGTTTCAGTGACCAAACCCATGTCAAGCCTGACAAACGAGATACCTATCTCCCCGAAGAACAATTCAACAAACCACCCCTGTCACAAAGATACTCTACATCGTAAGCCACTGCATAAGAATTTCTTAGGGAAGTAAATATATACTTTGAGATTATCGATAACAGGGTGAATGTGCCTCGAACGTAACCCCTTCTAGTCAAGTATTAAAGTGAGCGACCTCTTATCGCCACACATTGTCAACTGTTACACCCCCGTGGAAATACTTTACACCGACATGAAAGTGATATACGCTAAAACCAGGCGTCTACGGGAAGGGTGTTCTACGTATCAGGTATACCCATCGCCAACTACTGCGTTACACGGTCTTTTTAATGTGGTTTTATTCAAGGTGTCATCTATAATCGTCCAGCAGAACGTTCCACGTCAGAGTTTTTTAAACGTAAAAACATCACACAGCGTTGTTTGACAGTTGGGTGTGAGGTAGCGAAAATACTCTTTAAAACGTCTTGATATAACGGTAGTGGGATGCCGTGTGGGGTCGTTATATGGAGTGGGGGTAAGTATTTCGGCTGTGGACGTTCTGTTAAGCACTGCTGTGCATGGGGTACTGTGACGCCCAAGGTTATAGACACACGTATATACAAGGCAGCGTTCCTTGTAACAGATATACACATACATTAATCGTTATGTTCAGATATACCTGTTGTAGGTTTAGATATACCAAATATCCCAGGTATATGTACATGTACACGATATCTATATACCTAATGCGTTGTTATAGCCTACCAACCTCTGGTTTAGATCCATGGACGAGCGATTCAGGGTTAGATGACAGCATTTACACGATTGATCTAAGTTTAACGGTACATTACACGATACTCTCTGCTAAGATTAACATATGCTCTGCTAAAGGCTTTTGATATAGCTCTGTATACATATAATTGGGCTAGGCGTTGATACATTTACACAAAAAAAACCTTAAGTTTACCAATACGGTTACACAAAAACTTTAGGCTTAGCTATTGATTTACACGGATGCTTTAGGTTTAGCTATACATTTCCACGAATGCTTTAAATTTAACTGTATATTACACGATGCTCTCTGCTAAGATTAACATATGGTCTACTAAAGGCTTTTGGTGTGGCCCTGCTTCCATATAACTGGGCTAAGCGTTGATACATTTACACAAAAACGTTAGGTTTAGCTATACATTTACACAAAAACTTTAGGCTTAGCTATAGATTTACACAAAAACTTTAGGCTTAGCTATAGATTTACACGGATGCTTTAGGTTTAGCTATACATTTCCACGAATGCTTTAAATGTAACGGTACATCACACGATGCTCTCTGCTAAGATTAACATAGGTTCTGCTGAAGGCTTTTGGTATGGCCCTGCTTCCATATAACTGGGCTAAGCGTTGATACATTTACACAAAAACGTTAGGTTTAGCTATACATTTACACAAAACTTTAAGTTTAGCTATATATTTACACGAATGCTTTATGTTTAGCTATACATTTCCCCGAATGCTCGTTTTACTATACATTTATACGGATGCTCTTGGTTAAAGCCTCAGCTATAGAATTATACGAATGTTCTGGGTTTACGTATACATGTATAAGAATGCTTTAGGTTCAGCTATGCATTTATACGAATGCTCTAAGTTTAGCTGCACGCTTATACGACCCTTTAGGTCTAGCAATACATTTACAGGAATGCTCTATTGCGTATGGAGGTATGAATTTTACGAGGTCATAGAGGTGGAGGAATATGGTAGGATCATATGAGTAGGTTTATATCCCTTATTTATATCCATGTTTCATATCCGTGGTTTATATCATGGTTTATATCCTTTGTTTATATCCTTGGATTATAATGGCGGAACCAAGACACATACGATAGTTACAGCATTGTCTCCAGGGATTGAATATGACTTGTAACAATGTTTCCGTGGTGGAGATGACGACGCCGAAGACCACGTCATTAGGGCTGTCCATGCAGCACACAATCAGTATACACCAGGTTACATACATAACAAGCGTTTCGGAATCTTAAAATAATAACCACTAACGCGACACGCCCTTCCAGAAAAAGACAGTTGTTTAAGCTGTAAGAAAGTCATTTATGTTTGAATATCGAACTTTCCGCGAACATGCATTATCCTATAAACGGCAAAAGAGTCGCATATCACAGCGTTTGTTCGTTATTGTGAAGTGTCGTACATGCCTTCGTGAAAGACGATCTTAGCAACTTTTGCCATGTAGCATGACACCGGGTAATGATACAAGCGAGCGGTGTGGTGTACACTACTAGCATGCAGACATAATCACACATGCAGAAGCGTTCATAAGATAACAGAGGCCTCCCTGCATATTTTTCGACTGTTGGATTGTATACATCTCACGCGTATCGTGCCACGGTTTGGCCGACACGGAAAAGCGACGAGCGACGGTGATGACATTTGTTGAATAGACAAATAGTTCAAACTACTTTACCTACAAGTATGTTACGTTGTAAAGCTGCAACTCGACCCGACTAAGCTGTTGACAGTTGTATCAAGATATACATTTCTCAATGAAATCGACAACAGGTCTATTTCATAATTATATCGGTTCGCGACGTATACTTGTAACTCTACCTACCCAGTAACCTTAATGACAAGTGTAAATATACTAGTGCTTATATTACAGGTAAATTCTATTATCTCGGGCCCTGGAAGGTGATGGAGGGACACTGACAACTAGGTGAGGCGCTATGTACACGCAAATTGATGTCGGAACATATTCTGAACGGCTGTAACGTGTAGCGCCCTGAGAAATAGACAACGACAGACTGACAGTTCAGTTGACAGAAGCCTATCTGAAACTTACAACTGACCTAGTATGGGGATACCCAAACACGACAGACCGACCACGTGACGATTCATGCTTTCGTTTTCTAGTGTCCCGTTTGTACCTACATTAAAGTATTACATATGTGTCACTTATTACGGACTATACAAACGCAGGTGATCCTGAATTCCGTTATACATGTAATTTGGGGGACATGATACTCTCGTATTTCTTGTAATCATCGATATAAAAAATGTCAAAGGTAATAATTTGAATTGTGATTTCATAAGCTGGTCAACTAAAAGAGCATGCGGTACTGTGAGTTTTTACATAAACTTATTAAAATAATACGAAATAATATAAGCGTGGTACATCTTTTAAAAGGGATAAATGTGCTCGTAAAATGTACTTATTAAAGTTAAGTTTGAAAATAATTCTAATATTACTATATTTCATCCATCATTCATTCAATGTACTCTTCATAATGCATGTTTGACTTACAATTTCTCGACATCATTAGGTATATCCGAAGGAACATACAGTAGTCCTCTGAAGCTGCAGTCGATGTATTTGTTCCGACAGGAGCACTCCCGGGGGCAAGATCGGCTCTCCCCCCACGAAACACACAACGTTAGAAGTAGAAAACACAGGTAAACTGCGTTAAACACAGGTAAATCCACACCTTTCCAAAACTGGCTCATTTTGGAGAAAATTCTTTCATTCACAATCCACAGAATGAGGTAGGTTGCAAAGAAACAAAAATACGCTCGATATAACGTAATCCACAACGATTTAGGTCCAAGGTAAATCCTGCATAACGCCGACCCAGCACATCACTTGCCCCTTTAACAGCGCTCGCAAGCAAAGCGCGATCAGCCGTCGCTCGCTCTATTTTGTACCTTGAGGGCCGATTGTTCACAACACTAACAACCGGTTTAATCGGCCAAGTTTACTCGCTTAAAATCAGCCAAGGAATCATAGATCAGACTTATGCCTTTAAGGTAGAAACAATCCACTCCCGGCCACATCCATGCATGCTTTCATAGTAGACCTTCTCTACACACTGAAGTTGGTAGTACTACAATCTCGCACTACACCATGGGCGAATGCATTGTGTCGAAGGGGGTACAACCATCGCGCCTGTTCGCAGCGATAATGGTACGGTCCTAATATTGTTGCGCACCAAATCGGTTGTGTGAGAGGGGATTTCACGTGGGGCTGGTTCTACAATAATTGAACAACGGCTAGGCATCTAACTGTACGACGTGTGTAGGATCGCCCATGTTGGTCGCGAGCTATGAATGACAGCTAATGTAAGCTTTGAATTCATATCGGGAACTGACTGCTTCAGGCTGCACACTTTCTGTGTTATTAAAGATAAGGCCCCCGCGGTGACAATGGCTTGGACACTTCGCTACTTATTTATTTATATCTGGTAAAATCGCGACATCTTGCCAACTTCTCAGCAGGTGTGGAACCGCTAGGATATTGAAATATGTCGTCTTGGCTATACTAACGGGACACGTGCAGACACACAGACGGTTTGATAGGAGTACTTACAGTCGGGGAGACGCGACTGGTCTCTAAATATACCCATAAAAACTTTCCAGTTTTTTTGGTTGGCGACACGAGTAAAATGGAACATAATGACACATGTTTCATTCCCACAAGGTATTCCATTTGCTCGCATATTTTTATTTTCTTAATATTTGAAGTCTAGTCGGACCAATATAGTCCTGCACCATGACTGTGGAATATATTTATTTTATGAAAATACAAAACAAAAAAAACCAATCTAGATATGTATACAAAAGCAACTCTAGCCAGCTCTAGCTAGCTCTATTCCACATGAAATCAGCATCGGGAAAATTATTTGTTTAATTTTAGGGTCAAGAAGGGTATTGTGTAATATAAGATTTCATAGACTAAATGTAAGTACTAACAAAAAGCCTACCAAAACATCAAATGTGACGCTCGTCTCTGTCATGGAATCGTTTAACTTTTATCACTCGCTACAATAAAAACAAATCATGCAACGATAGCTTATTCTAACCTACCCTGTTTATTCCGTACCCAGTGCAATACGGACAACTGGTCAAAGTGATCACGTTATCTATCGATATCATCTCCCCGGGGTTCGTGTGCAAACCCTCAATAAGGAGGCTCCCGGCTAGGTATTGTCACAGAGCAATGTCTCCGACGGGGAAAGGATAAAAAAAAACGAGGGGTCGATAGTGTGAGCATAAATACACGACATGCAGCCATTCACTGAGAATGTGTGTATACATGAACAACATGTGTTGATGAATATACAGATTGGTTTAGAAGTATGTCCGATACGTATGTGTCAGATTGAACTGGTTTGTTTGTTTGTTGTTAAACGCCGCACTCAGCAATATTCCAGCTATTTGGCGGCGGAAGGTAAGTAATGGCGTCTGAACTAGAAAATCCAGTGATTGACATCGTCAGCATCGATCTACGCATTTGGGATACGATGACATGCATCAACCAAGTCAGCAAGCCTGACCACCCGATCCCGTTAGTCGCCTCTTACGACAAGTATGGGTTGATGAAGATGAATTCTAACCCGGATCTTCTGATCCTAAAACTATTTCCCTTTAGAAGACAAAGCGTTTCGGTCAGCAATTTGTTATTTCGGAATATTTGTTTAAGATCTAAAGGTGGAATTACCAGAAAACCTGTATTATCGGGGAACGTGTCTATTCCTTTTTGGAACAGTGTTATTCCTCAGGGAGATGAGAATACAATTGGAAAATACTTATCCTTTGACAAAGTAGTAGTAGTAGTAGTAGTAGTAGTAGTAGTAGTAGTAGTAGAAGGTATTATTGTTGTTGTTATTGTTGTGTTGTTACACAGGGGCGGTCGGGTAGCCTAGTGGTTAAAGCGTTAGTTCGTCACGCCGAAGACCCGCGTTCGATTCCCGACATGGGCACAATGTGTGAAGCCCATTTTTGGTGTGCCCCGCCGTGATATTGCTGGAATATTGCTAAAAGCGGCGTAAAACCATACTCACTCACTCACTATTGTTACACAGAAACACATGCCATCGTTACACATGCTATAACCTTTGTTTAGAGGCATGATGCTCACATTGCTGTATAAATAACGTATGTGTTATTCACAGACATATACCCTGTTCATTATACATAGAAATAACATTTCAGCTGGTAGGGATTAATCTTATGCACACTTCGTGGTGTTCATGCGTAATTTTTGTGGAATATGGGCTGGTTGTGTTAATATTTAATTTAGTTTATAGGTTAAAAGTTCGTCTGAATGTCAGCGTCTATTCTGATTCTCCGTAACATCAGATACCTTCAACAACGTTTAATACAGTACGCGATGCTGCTCCCACGTGCAGATGGTACAAGGGGACGGACAGTCATGCACCATTCTGTGGAATATATACTAAACAAAAAAAGTAAATATTTTTTGGATATATTTATGCCGTGAAGACTGAGTTTCTATCAACGTGTGCAGCATATAAACTTATTTCATGGACCCTAAGATTTTTCTTTGTTTAATATATGAACCAAGTCTAGTTAGCTCTCGCTATACCACATGGAATCTGCATCATGGAAAAGGAGTGAAATGTATTGCGTGATTAAAGATTTAACAGAGTATATGTTAGTTGTAGTCGGTGCGGTGGAGGGTGGGGGATGAGTGGAGGGTGGGGTGGGTGTGTGAGCAAGGGGTGGAGGGTGCTTATGTCAGAAATCTTAAACAAACAGTTGAATTTATAGTAGCATAAGTACAGTATCTGTATTAGACTTACATCTAGTCTCTGAAATGTTAATCACAGTTTCTAAATTATCTTAATAAAATATATGAAAAATTAGCCCAGAGCCTCTCTTCATTTTCAGAAACTGCACTAATCTAGACTTAACTATCACAGACTTGCATTGGCTTAATTGGATATATTTGTTTTAGGGTCTGTACGACAGATTATATAAGTATGAACATACACGGAACTGCTGGAGCTCAGTGGATACTGCGCTCACCCATCACGCCACAGTCCCAGGTTCTATTCCCAGCATGGGTACAACTTGTGCAGTCTATTCTTGGTGTCTGCACTGTGTCGAAAGAGACGTAAACCCCATTCACTCACTCACTCACTCACTCACTCACTCACTCACTCACTCACGCAGGTATGCTTGTCGCAAGAGCGACTAAAAGGAGGATCTGGTGGTTGCGGTGTGTGATCTGGCTGATGGTGTGATCGTATCCCAAATCAGTCTTATTCTGCTATCAAACACCTAACCCATATAATACTGACTCAGTCATTCACTCACTCACCCTGACTTGGCTGATGCATGTCGTCGTATCCCATTTGCATAGATCGATGCTGATGATGTAAATCACTGGATTGCCTGGTCCAGACTCGATTATTTACAGACCGCCGTCATATAGCTGGAACATTGCTGAGTGCGGCGTTAAATAACAATCAAATAAACAAATAGTCACGAACGAACGAACGAACGAACGAACGAGCGAACGAATGAACGAACGAGCGAACGAATGGACGAACGAAACGAATAATAGGCACACACGACAGCGAGCTGGGTGTGTCTGCGTAAACGTTAACTTCTCACGGACGCGCAGAACGGACCAGCAATCGTTCAAGATCGCGCAACTACCACCCAGCCATACATACCGTCGTTACATGTAGCAAAAATTTGCTCTAAATGTTAAAAACGCCACTGAATCACTTCTCCCATCTGTGCACCGCGAGCACGCGTCTCAGTAAACGATATCGACTTGAGGTGCTTTCGGCCGGGCGGGCGCTTCTTACACTTCGTTCATAATCAATACAGACAAGAAGACTGGGAAAACAGCGAGAATCTAGCTTTATACAGATTAATATAAATCCCAAACACATGTTCACAATCCTCTGAACATGCTACCTTAAAGGCGCCGTATTTGAACATTGATTTTCGAATTACTGTAAGCTTCATTTCAAATCAATAGGTAACAGTGTGTTGCTCAACTCGGTACATACTGATTTGTGTTTCCCACGAAAAGGGGACTATTCGCGTGATTCACAGAGTGAAAAAACTGTCGAAGTCCCTGAAGCATGCTACAATTAGTTTTAACGTGGCCATTGTGGGAAGGTAAGGGGTTAATGCGGTCATCAGACCGAGCAGGGTAGGGAGATGATAATTTTTCAATCATATTATGGTATGGTGTATTATCGAGTTTGCGATAACTTTGCCAAGACGATTATACGATTGAGTTGAAACCAATTTTTAAATTGCTATGACAAAATACTTGACGTTGACGTGAAAGATAGCTTTGTTCTCTACACCTAATATAGTCATCTAAAGCGTTTATCAGTATCTATAGATGGAGGTGCGTCGTTAAGCTACTTAAGTAGTTACCGGGTTCGCCCAGCTGGCAAAAGATCAGTGCCCCCCCCCCCCCCCCCCCCCCCCCCACACACACACACAGTTAGATTTATCATTAAGACAGAAGAATACTGCATATATTATATTTGCACATTCAATTTAGACAATATCTAGCTGCCCCCGACGTAAGGGATAGGCTTATGTGCCCTATCAACACAAACACCTCCGTTCAGATTGATACAAGTTTCCCCGTCACGAGCAGACGACACCTACAGTCGGGCCAACCAGTTACATATCCTCAGGAGGGGCCGTATTGAACATTTGGTAAAACGGACAATGGATAGGTAACATCAAAGTGCGGTTGAACAGTTCCCAGGTGCGTGAAATATCTAAACATGACATCCGCGTGGCCTAGCTACCGGTAGACGCATGTGGACGAATGTTGGTGGTCAAATTAGTTTTTAATTACCATGCACGTGCTATGTACAGGTATATTCGACAACACCCCTATTCCGACGCATACCTGCTTGAAAGGAAACGACACCGTACCATGTCTGATCATAGAAGACCCGGATAATAAACCGGCATTTCATGTACAACCTATGGCGTAGCTATCAATGAAAACAGACAGGTCTGTGGGGGAGAGAGTTTAAATACTATTCCCGACGTCTGGAAAGGAGGCGGGTAGTTTATTTACCTAATATATATGTCACAAAATTACAGCTGTCCAAAATTGATTTCTTATGAATTGCCTTCACACCAAATCGATATTAGATCGAAAGGGAGTTTTATTAGCAATGCTTGCATAAGGAGACTTTCACATGCAGTTCCTCATATCTCTGCAGGTGTTCGCATCAGAAACTGCAGGAATTTAGAATGACGTTTAAATTTGTATGA